GGTCAGCACACAGCAGGGGTCTGCAAAGACACCACGCAGGGCAGTGTTTGTTCCCTTGGCTTGGGGTCCAGGTACAGATTAATGGCCAACTGCAGCCAGGCTATGGTCTGGGCTGTGCCTCCAGCACAACTGCAAAGGGAGAAGGTCAAGAAAATACTCCTTGAGACTCAGAACATACTTGAAAAAGGTGTACTCTTAAAAAAGGGGACTCTTAAAAAACAACTCTTTAAAGAAAGCCCCATCCCTGGAAGCGTCCAAGGCCAGGTTGGACAGGGCTTGGAGCAACCTGGGCTAGTGGAAGGTGTCCCTGCCCATGGCAGGGGGTGGAATTGGACAATCTTTAATGTCCTTTCCCACCCAAACCATTCTGTGATTCCATGACTGTTCAGTAAGCAAGATCTTGATCTGCTGCTACTCCCATACGTCCATCACATTTCCTGTGTAAGGAACACTGTAAGGCTGAGCCTTAAAGCTGAGGCTGAGCCTGCTGACACCTCAAAACACAAGGCACGGGAAGGAAAAGGCCATCTGCCTGCAGCACTGCTCCACACAAACCAACCTGGCCCGGGGCTCCCCAGCAGCCCAGAGTGCCACTGCTGCAGGCAGCACCAGGCTTGCCTGAGGAGCCCAGGGACACAGGCCCCCAGTCCCAGTGCTGGGGGCAGGGGGCCAGGGCACAGCGGGAAGCGGGCAGGAAGCGGCCCATCCACACCCCCAGCCCCCTCAGCCGTGCACCGGACACGCGGCAGCGCCGGATGCAGTCCCTTATCACTGGGGAGATGGCAATGGGATCCCTGCCAGCTCCACTCGCTGGGTCCTCCCACAGCCCCTGGAAGGAGCCAGCCCAGCCCCCAGCACTTGCCTCCCCGCAGGGCTGGGGGGGGGGCAGGAGAACATCACCCCCCGGCTCCTGCCCGTCCTGGGGTTGAAGGCCACCACGCGGAACGCTGGGTTTCCACAGGACTCGCTCTCTTTGGCATGTGGATGACTTAAAACAACAAACAGAAGGCCCTGATAGAGAGAGGGAAAATACATCACTAAAAACAACAGCAGGAGGGGAAAAACTCAAAGAATTTTCCAAAAATTAACAGCTGCAGTCTCTCTCTAATCACAGCCCCATGGACAGTGATACATTATTTTTACTGAAGAAAACAGAAATGGTTTACTTTCCTTATCAAATAAGATAAAACCCAAAGCAGCTGCTGGCTGATAAGGGCTGGTGCAACACAGCAGAGTGACAGCTCAGTGACTCGATGGATTTATGCATTTACCTTCAATCCTCTAGAAACCTCAATCCTTTGCGTCCCCAGCCCAGTCAGTGTAGCCCAAGCATGAAGAGAATTTCATGTACGTACGGAGTCGGAATACGCTCGATGGCAGATGGAAGCTGGGTAGGAATAACCAACGTGCATCTTCCTCAGGAGCTGGCCTGTTTTCAGATTCCTGCAGTTGGTGAAAACACAAACTCTGACACATTTTCATCCTCTAATCACAGTTACACCACTGTGCAGGATGGAGACGGGTTTGGTTCCACATCAGCCAAACAAGCCAAGAGGTCACAGGGAGGGTGTAATGAGAATGATGCAAAAGCAATGGAATTACAGTAGCACAGTTCATTCCCTGTCCATGTGACTGTGGGGCCACACTGCAGGTCCTCTGACAACCACCATTTCCAGGGTGGCTCGGCACCCAGCCAGCACTCCTGCACAACCCTGCAGCTTTCTGCTACAGCCCCCACCCCCCTCAACCATGTAATGGCAGAGGAGACACTGACCACACCACGATGCTGTTGGCAGCTGTGGTGCCCACCAAGGCCTCTCTCATCCCTTCTACTTCAGCAAAGGCTGTAACAGTTTCTTCAGGGGGCATCAGGGTCTGCCTGTCCTTGCTCCTGAAGGGAGATCAGCACATAGAAAAGCAGTTGAAAAAACAAGTGCCCAGCACCACTCCAGGAAGAACAGGAACCCACTTTTTCTACATCCAAGATGTTTCCTCACTTTTGTCCCACCTGCCACAGAGACCACCACAAACCAGCACCCCCAAACTCACCCTCCTGTCCCTGAGAGCCACACCATCTCCACTTGCTGCTCCTGCAGGGTCCTGCTGCTGCTCACTAGCCTCTGGTCCTTTAGCCCAACAACTGCTTTTATATTCCCAGATTTCACTAGGGAGTGCCTGAACAAGTCAGTCTCAGAAGAATAAAGCAACGTCCTAAATCAAGAGACAAGCACATACCATGACAGGAGGAAGCACCACTCAAACATGCCATAGCATACACAAATCAGCCTATGTTTACTCAGTCTGCCAGCTCTGGGGTGAATGAACCAGTCCTTATAGCTGACTTTTATAAATCCCTTGCACCTTTTCCAATTGCTAAAGCAACTGAGAAAGTAACACATTAGTAAAAAGATAATTTCAGCCACTACTAAGATAGTAGTGAGGAGAGCTAAGCTGCAACTTCTTAGGGTGCAAAGCGCTAGTAATAAATAAATACAAAACCTTATTTCTCCAATCTCCAGCTCTCCCAGTGCTACACACACGAGGTTACAGGTGTCTGGCAGAGGAACAATCTGGATTACAGGAATCTGGGACAGCAAAACAAGAATTCAGTGTCACCCACAGCATCCCTTTAACTTTTTTCTCATTTTCTAGACTGTTTCAAGTAAAATGATGTGGAGCAGAACTAATTTTCAGACCACTCTCAAGAAGCACACTTAGACAAACAGCTGAACTGTCTGCTGCCTGTTTACCTAATTAAACAATCCCTGTTAATGTAAGAGGCAAAAAGTGTCTCTAAGGAGTGTAAGCGGAAAGAGCACAAGGCAGTGGCTGAAGTGCAGCCACCATTCTGTGCATGGAATATCAAATTCCTGTAGGTAACTTGTGGCCATAGAAGCTACAAGCTCCTTGTATCTTGGGAACTAACACATAGGGCAAGAAAATTGCCATAAATTCTAGAAAGAAGGACCGTGTCCATACCTCTCCCAGCTGCCAGGTGCAGACCTTTCCCCAGTGGTTGGGTGCCAGAGGTTCCCACAGGGACACGGAGCTCTCGGAAGCAGTGACCACACGCAGCTCCCTGCAGCCAGCTGCTTCCCACCACACTGTGCTCACATCCACGGCACAGGATCCTGAGGAATCCTGCCCAAAACAAACAGCGCTGGTTTTTCTCTGATAGACATGATTATCAGTTGCATTTTTGTTAAACTTGGTCTTGCAAAGCTGCTGCTGCCACAGTAACAATTCCCTGCTGTTCCCCCACCTTTAGCTCCGACACAAGCTGCAAGTTCTCTTCTTTGGGGCCATCTGGCAGCACTGGAGTCAACTGTTCTGCTCCATCATTTTTCTGCACAAACAAGTAAAGGAGGAGGATAGTTCAACTTTGAAATGACATTCAGCACCTGCAAGAGCGAGGCAGAAGTGTTGTGTGCTCTGTCACAGTCATGCAGTCACTCTGCATGCTGTTGCTGGAGAGCCATGATCCATGCAGGACTAGCATGCAAAGAGGCCTTTCCCCTGAAGTCAGACAAGACTCTGGGAAAGGGGATTTGCCCACTGGTTTAGTACCTCTGGCAAAGAGCTCATCTTGTTACCTGTTCAGGAGAAGCTCTGCAGGATCCTTGCTCTTTGCTCTCAGACTGCTGATGCTTACCCAAGGCCACAGCCTGATCAGATTTATTCTCAGGACCTCTTTCATCTGCTAAAGCAAACATGGTACCTTGTTCCTCCTCATTTGTGGCAGCCCCTGCACCACAGCTGTCCGGGAGCAGTGGCATGGCAGGGTCCTTGTGTGCCCCATCCCCCAGGACCTGGGCAGCTCCTCTGGAGGAAGGCAGGGTCCCGTGCGAGGTGGGCACAGAAGGTGTGCCTGGTAAGGCCTCACTGTGCACTGCAGGTAAAACACCTGGGGTTGCACCCACAGCAGGGAAAACAGACGAGGAAATCTGAGACTCACGCTGGGTGGGAGCCCCAGCTAAGACAGTCTCCATGGGAGTAAAGAGCAACTCATGGGTGGAAAGGTCCTTCTTGGAAGTCGGGCTTTCCACACAGGGGAGCTTGGGCAATCTGGTTTTGGAAGGTGAAATCAAGTTACTTCTGAGACTTTTTTCTTCTGGATTCATTTGTGCACTTGGTGTGTCCTGTGGAGCCACGCCATCCCCGGACACACTTGGAACAAAATCCTCCAAGTCATTCACAGGGGAAGATTTCAATTTCTCCAGTTTCAGTACTCCAAATTCCTCGTTTGGTAGGTGGAAGTCCCTGATGCCCAGCCTGGGGACCAGCCACTGGGGGCTGCGGAAGGAGAAGAGGGAGCAGCGAGTGTCGGGGTCTGCAGGGGGGAGGCCCAGAGCAGCAGGACCCTCTGAGCCCGTGGGACAGCTGTGCCCTCTGCTGCTGTCATCTAAACACAAGAATACAAGAGAGAACATCAGCAACTTGCCTTTTCAGAATCTCTCATCCAGACTGCCACTCCAATATATTTAAAAAAAAAAAAAAAAGAAAAGAGCCATATACATCTTAAGACATGGAAGTGGCACTTTTCTGGAAAGACATTACAATCTGCAGTTGCTCTGCATCAAGCCTTCAGCTCAAAGGTCATGTCCAAAGCCTGACAGAATTGAGTGCTTGCTCAGTTTGGTTTGTTGGGTGTTCTCCCAACACTTTCACAATATTCACAGACCCCCAGACTCTCAGGCTACGTCTTGTGTTTCACACTTGTTAGCACTAAAAGAAAATACTCATTAGTATGCACACTCAACTGGAGAACTGATGGACACCCATCTGCTGGAAATCAGCTCCAGTGTGCACAACCTTTGCTCCAACAGCAATGGCAGGTCAAGAAGTTCTCAGCCCTGCTCCTCTGCTGTTCACTCCCTGACACTGGGCTGAAGTAAAAGTTTCTGGAATTGTTCAAGGAACATGGGCACCACAATGACCTAATTTTTTAAAAGATATCTTGTTTATAAAAAAAAAAAAAAAAAAAAAAAAAAAAAAAAAAAGAAATGGTTAATCCCCCTCATATTTCCTGACTAAACACTGCAGGGTGTGAACAGCAGGGCTTGCACTCACTGGACGTTCCCCTCCTGTGGGAATGGGAGTTCTGGGGAGTGCTGACTGTGAGGCAGTACCTGCTGAGCCCTGCCGGGCGCTGTGTCTCGCAGAGCAGCGCAGGGAGCGGCGCAGGGGGACGCTGATCCCAGGGAGCGGCTCCGCCCCGCCGGCTCCTCGCCGGCTCTTCACGCTCGCCACTGGATGTTTATCAGCCTGACACACAGGCGAGTTGGCTTCCAGATCTCCCGCGTGCCTGGCAAAAGTTTCATTCCCTGGGCTCACGGCATCGCTGCTCTGAAGTGGATTTTGAACCTGCTCCAACAGGCATTTCCCCAGCACTTGGCTCCCTCCCTGAGGAGGATCAGGACCCGCTGGCTGTGCAGCTTCAGTCACTCCTGTCTCTCCAGACCCCAACGCTGCAGCACCAGACAACTTGCTCTCATCTGAGGATGACTTTTCAAGGTTAGCATCACAGCTTTTCTTTTCACTCTGGCTCTCACTTGACAGCAGAGCACTGCTTTCCCTGGCCATTATGAGGTCCACACTCTCTATAAGCTCCTGTGACACTGGACCCACGGGGGCTTTGCAGGCAGACCTTCTTCTTCCCTTCTGTTTCCTCTGGGATCGACTCTGCTCTTGCCTTGTGCTAATGATGCTTTTCTGAGAAACGGATCCAAGTGAAGTGCTGCTGCTGCTGGACACAGGAAGAGATTTCTCAGAACTACTTGAGTTTGCTGGATCCTCTTCTGCCCCAAGAAAAGGGAACGGCATGACCCCTGACTCTAAATCAGCCTTAGCTCTCTCCTGGGAGGGCTGATCTGAGTTTGCATCTTTCTGCTTGCACTTACTCCGCTGACCTTTCTTGCTCCTGCCCAGCTGGCTGAGGATTACAGCATCCAGGTCCACCTTCCTCTGGCAGTTGGACATGCGGCGAGTTGTCCTGACGTAGTACTCGACAGGGAAGAGCAGCCCTTCCACCACTGTGCAAGAGCTCAGCGTGCCCTCGGGAGCCGTCGCCTCCTCGGGAGGAAAAAGTCTTGACTGACTTTCAAGCTGTTGATTCTCCAACAGTTCTCGAGCACTGCCCGGAGCACGATCTGCAGGACAGGGATTTAAGGTATCGCTGTCACTTTTATCTCCTTCATGGCTTTTGCTCTCCTTGGTTACAGTGTTATTTCCATCCTCAGGCAATACTTCATTTTCTGACACTAAATCCAGGAGCCCACATAATTCTCCCTGATCTTCATGCAAACTCTCACTGTCCAGTTGTTTTATTACACTGGGGCATTCTTCTTCTCCATCACCTCTGGTGTCAAGTAAAAGAGAGTCTCCCTCCTGTGAACATGGCTCACGGCTGCCAGGTGTGGTCACAGCCCTTGGGCACTTGAGCTGCCAGATGTCACTGCTGTCCCTGACCACATGTGGGGACAGCTCAGGCTCTCCTGCAGTGACACTGCCCTCGAACACCTCCTGTACAGCTCCTGAGGCAGCATCAGGAGTGAAACTGTTTCCTTCTCCCTTCACAAGAGCTGGCCTGCATGACCTTTCAGGATGTTCCTCAGTGTGCGAGAGGGTGCTGTGCCTGAACACTGGTGACTGAAGCTCTTCTGCACTGGCAGTTTGATTTTTCACTGTTTCATCAGTGCTGACTACATGCCCATCGTGCACTGATTTCCCTTCCCTTGATTCCAGAGCCTTTGTCCGTCTCCTCAGCTTCATCATGCCTCTGGAGGTTTGGGATGTTTTCTCCTCAAGGACAGGCCTAATTATCCCACAGCACAGGTTTTCCTGGCTGGCCTGAACACTTTCTGCCCATGAGCTGTCCTGTAGGTTAACCTCATCATTGGAGAACTCTGGAATGTGTTTAAATGTGACAGATGTTGCCTCCTCCATGTCAACATCAGAGTAGGTTTTAGTCTGTAACTGAGGGAGTCCACCTCTGTCAGCACTAGGAGATGCATTATCTTTAGAACCTGGGGGAAAAAATGTCACACGTGTAAAGTACTCTCAAAGTCCTGTCCAAGAAAAACATCACTTTGTTAGGAGGAAAAGATGGGGATCTTACAGTCAGGATCAGAGCACTGGAGACCTGGTGAGGAAGGAAGCAGAGATGTTAGTGCAGAGCAGGGCTCAGCCCAGGGGAAGGGCCGTGTGCGGGTCTGAGGGCAGCAGATGTGGCAGCAGCGACCGAGAGGACAGCGGGTTGAGGGGGTCGGCAGGGCCGGTCCATCCCGGCTCCGCGGGGGCACTGAGGGG